TCATTATACTCTCGACTCTTGTTCATTAAACATACTTTTTCATACAGTACCTGCCAAAAGTTTTGTTCAATCATGAATAGTAGTGCGAGTCGAAAACAAGCGTTAAAGCCTTTAATATGTCTTCAAATATAAATAAACATCCCGCTGATATTTTCAGTAGTAAATGGTACCAATAACAGCACATTTGAGCAATGGAATTGTAGTGGATAAAATGGTCAATTTTTCTGTGCGGTACTGTACGGATTATACGCTTCTCACCGGTTAAGAGTTTGGCCGAGAGTTGTCTCCTTTCTTTTCTGGCCTAGTGCTGTTCTTTTCTAATTTGCGCCGGTCAAACTGAAGGTCACATCGCTACAGAAAGTAAACGAAGTATATATGTATTGCATATGCGTTTGTATTTGCTTCTTTGATTTTTAATTTCTCTCTGCAGTTTTATATGGCAAGCGTTAAAGTATTTAACAAATCTAAACCAATATTCCGCATTCGTCCGGTCGAAATAAAGTTGTATTTCTCTGGTGTGCAGTAATTAGATAATGCAATATTTTAATTAAAAATTACTACTATAAAATGCAATCTAATAAAGTTTTACTTCTTACGCGTGTACACTAATACACGCTCGTCTCTTTTTTTAGGCAGGAATTAATTAAAGAATGATACTAAAGAATTTTTTTAATTAGAAGCAACCAGTAAGGGGTGAAACGTTCTTTATTGATTATGTAATCTCTACCGGCGTTTCGGTTTATCAAAGTCGATTACATGGCGAAACGTCGGTGGATATTGTAATAATAAAGAACATTTCACCCTTTACTGGTTGCTTCTAATTAAAAAAAATCTTATTATATCATCGGAGAAGATACTAATAAATTTCTGAAGAATCTGCGGTTTTGATTTAGCCCCATGTAACCTTTTTCCTTGACTGAAGAGTGTACCATTTTAACAGTACAGTACAGTGAAAGTAACTTACAATCTTAACAGTATTTCAATAAAGGACGTAACAGAAACAGCACTGTAAAAGGCCATTTATCTGAAACGTAGAGATGTAGTTAGGATGTTGTCGTTTAATCGAAATTTATAAATGAAAATCACTAATTCTTTGGCCTGTTGGTTGTGTTTAAGGATGTTTGGGAGGTACAATCGGAGACAAGAGTACATAAAATTAGAAATTCGTGATTAATTAGGTTTTGCGGCATATCATGAGGTAAATAAATACTATCTATACTAAAAAAAAAGTATACGGTTTGGAATTTGACCAAAAACTTTGAATAAAATAAGAAATAACGAATAATATGGAAAATTTTTAACTGACTTTTGGCAGTGAATATGCCTTGATTTCAACTTCGAAACAAAAAAATATTTAGTTTCAATCTC